GATCTCCACCCAGTGTGGTTCGACGTTCACAGCTGCCCAGACACACAGGTCTACGTCAACAAGGCGCCAGAAATGAACGAGAAACAGCTTAACGGCCTCCTGCTAACGTGGGCCGGGATGCTGCCCCACGGCAACCCCACCGTGGTCTCCGTTAAGCACCTGGTGGAAGACACTTACGGACCGCACGGCTACATCTCAACTGGGGTTACCGTGATCAGGTTTGCGACGCGCGACCTCGCCAAGCTCTATTGTCGTTACATGAACGGGCTCCAGGTGTATTACCGCAACTACTTCATCGAGGATCTCGAGGTCAGGAGCGCCGAGGAGTTAAAGGGCAGCATCAACAAGCCCCCGGTTTACTGGCACCAGACCGTCCTGGAGGTCGCTCTTAACGACCAGGGGTCCATGAGGGCGCTCTACCGTGACAACTGGCCTGCCGATCACATCACCGAGCGTAAAAGTGACCACCGCGAGAAGCTCTGTTGGTTTGGGTGGTTGCCGTGTGACGACTTTGCCAACTGGCTTACCGACCCGCACTGGACTGTGAACCCGTTTACCGGAGTTGCGGTCGAGGAGCACCTCCGCAACAATCCAGGTGGTAAACCTCTGCTGAAGGCTCCCCACGCCAGTTACTGGAGGGCCATTGGTACTTACCACAATATTGTTGACGGGTCCACCAAGAGCTTTGACGAGGGGTGCTGGTTGGACGACGAGGAGCGCATTAACGCGTACCTGGACACCGACTATTACAGCCCGACGCAGGCCCTTAACAGGGTGTCGTCCTATACGGCGGCCAGCGTGGGGCACCGTGGTTTACCGAAGTCCAGGGGCGCGCGTGCTCCGTCAGTGAGGCGCCCGCGCCGGTCGTAAACGGTGACAGGTGACCGGCATGTCTTTCTTTTACGCTCGCTCTCATCTCCCCTCTCAACCAGGCTTAACAATAGCGTTGCAGTAGACTATTGAGCTGAATCTATTTGCATGTGCATCTTTTATAGTTACCGCAGGTATTGGCGCATAAAAAGCGAAAGCAATCAAAACCATGTAAATGCTAGCCTGCCGTGTGAACTTTGGATGCTACTTTTAAACTCGTAACTGATTGAATGTTTACTTGAGCTCACGTTGCATGTCTGAGAGACGTGGCGCTCGTGAACGTGGTTATGAGATACTTCGAATTCGGCAGTGTGACGATACTCACGCAGCCTGTCGCTTGATTTAACCTGTCTTTGTGTTTACAAGCACCTCCCCGTCAGCCAATTCGGACTGGCGTCCGAGGGGGGGTGTTAACATGCAAGCATGCGTGTGACAGGGGAGGAATAGTAACCCCGCTGCCTTTGGCTCAAGTGTTTAACGGTCGAAGTCACGTCGACCAGTTGTGCCGTTCGGGAGTATAAAGGTGACCTATCGTTATCATTGTCGCCAAGCTCCCGTGCAGAACCCTCCTCGGGGTTTTGCAGGAGGAGGGAGGAGGAGGGAGGGAGAAGGGAGGAGGGAGGAGGGTGGAGGGAGGAGGGAGGAGGGAGGCGGGAGGAGGGAGGAGGGAGGAGGGAGGAGGAGGAGGGAGGATGGAGGAGGGAGGAGGGAGGAGGGAGGAGGGGAGGAGGAGGAGGAGGGGCAGGAGGAGGAGGAGGAGGAGGAAGAGGGGGAGGAGGAGGACGAGGAGGACGAGGAGGACGGACGAGGAGGCGAATGTGGATGATAAGGTTGAGGGGGAGGATGAGGTTTAGGAGGAGGAGCCACAGGACCAGGAGGAGGGGGAGTAAGATAGCCAGTTTCCTGCCGCCTTGCCACTGCCTGGCCATTGCCTGTCCACTTCTGGGCCACTGCCGGGGCAGCCAGGGCCACGGGCTGGGCATTGCATGGGCCCTTGCCAGGCCGCTGCCAGGTCACCGCCGGGGCACCGTCGGGGCACTGCCGGGCCTTTGCCATGGCCCTTTTGGGGCTTTCGCCAGGGACGCTGTCGGGGCACTGCCAGCCGCGGCGGGAGGACCCTCTTCGAGACGTTCGGGCGCCCGGGCACTCGGGCGCGCCGCCCTTCTTTTGCCGGCGGGCCGCGGGGGGGGAGGGGGGGATGAGCATGGTCGAACACAAATAAGCGTTAGGGCAGCGGGAGGAGGAAGAGGAGGGGGAGACGGAGGAGGAGAAGGAGACGGAGGAGGAAGGTGGACGAGGAGGAGGGGGAGGAGGAGGATGAGGATGATGAGGCTGATGGGGCTGATGAGGGTGATGATGATTATGATGATGAGGGTGATGAGGATGAGGATGATGAGGATGTTGACGCTGATGGTGCTGATGATATTGCCGCTGCTGCTGATGATGATTGTGATGCTGGCGATGCTGCTGGTGATGATGATGAGGATGATGCTAATTTTGATGATGGTGCTGATGATGCTGTTATTATCATAATGCTGATGCTGATGATGCTGATGATGACGATGATGATTCAGATCCTGATGAGGATGATGCTGATGATGAGGATGATGGTGATGATTGTGAGGATGATGGTGATGCTGACGATGCTGATGGTGCTGATGATGATGATGATGATGATGATGAGGCTGATGCTGGTGACGAGGACGTTGGGAATGCGTATGATGCTGATGCTGATGCTGATGCTGATGGTGGTGATGATGACTGCGATACTGATGCTGACGATGGTGATGTTGATGATGATAATGATGGTGATGCTGATGCTGCTTCTGATGATGATGCTGACGATGCTGATAGTGGTGGTGTTGATGATGGCGATGATGTTGCTGCCGTTTAGTATTATTACCATAAATCTGATGTTATTGAGGCTGGTGTTTATGGTGGTTACGATGATGCTGTTGCTGATGATGATGCTGCTGATGATGATGTTGGTGATGATGATGCTGATTCTGATGGTTATGTCGTTGATGATTATAATGCTGATGACGATGCTGGTGATGCTGATGATGCTGATGGCGGTGATGATCATTATGTTGTTGCTGATGATTGATACTGGTGTTGCTGATGCTGCTGCTGATGATGATTATGATGATGATGATGATGAGGATGATGCTGATGCTGATGAGGTTGTTGATGACGGTGGTGATGCTGATGGTGATGATGCTGCAGCTGCTGGTGATGCTGCTGATGATGCTGGTCATGATGATGCCGAGGATGCTGATGAGGATGCTGCTGATGCTGATGCTGCTGATGATGATGCTGATGCTGCTGCTGATGCTGATGCTGATGCTGCTGATGATGATGATGATGATGATGATGATGTTGATGATGATGATGCTGATGATACTGATGATGCTGATGATGACATGGCGATGATGACATGACGATGCTGCCGATGCTGCTGCTGCTGTTGATGATGTTGATGATGCTGATGCTGATGACGCTGATGATGATGCTGCTGCTGACGATGATGATGCTGCGGAGGAGGCGGAGGCGGAGGAGAAGGAGGATGAGGATGAGGAGGATGCGGGTGCGGAGGCGGACGCGGACGCGGATACATATGAGGCGGAGGAGACGGATGAGGCCGAGGAGGAGGAGGACGAACAAGACTACTATGTAGTACACATAAACACACTAAACAAATAATGCAGAAGAACACGGGTAAAAACGAAGTCGATCGAGGATAATTAATTCGAAGGCAAATGCTAGTATTGATTTGAAGAAGACGCCCAGTATTCAGAACAATACTCAATATGCGATGACTAAGGATACTACGAATAAGGGGACCACTGCTACTACGGATGGCTAACCCGACGATCACGACTAATATTCTGAGTAGGACGACGAACAATAAAACTGAGACGACTGGTAGTAGAAGCAATAATCATACGAATACGCATGGTAACACTAGTACGAATCATCCTCAGCAGTCTGGTATTACAGGTGCTAAGTGTATTCGGAAAACTAGTAGTGCTACTGGTACGACCACTACTAGTAGTAATCATAACAATCCGACGGATGCTATTACTACTGCGGTGATGGTGATGGTGGGGAGTGGGTGGAGGGGGGAAGAGGAGGTGATGAGCGCGACGACGGAGGAGGAGGAGGAGGAGAAGGAGGAGGAGGAGGAGGAAGGAGGGTGACGAGGAGGATGATGAGGAAGAGGAGCAGGAACAGGAGCAGGGGGAGGAGGAGGAGGAGGAGGAGGAGGAGGAGGAGGAGGAGGAGGAGGGAGGAGGAGGAGGAGAGGAGGAGGAGGAGGAGGAGGAGGAGGAGAAGGGGATGGAGGAGGAGGAGGAGCAGGAGGGGAGGAGGATGCGGAGGAAGAGGAGGGAGGAGGAGGAGGAGGAGGAGGCGAAAGGAGGAGGAGGAGGAGGAGGTCGTATTATTCGGTGGTGTCGGAGAAGGAGGAGGAGGAGGAGCAGGAGGCGGCGAAGGAGGAGGAGGAGGAGGAGAATGAGGAAGAGGAGGAGGTGGAGGAGGAGGATGGAGGATCAAGAATGGTTCATGGAGGATGGAAAATGGTGGAGGAGGAGGAGGAGGAGGAGGCGGAGGCGGAGGCGGGGGAGAGGGATGGGGAGGGAGGGGGGGGGGGAAGGAGGAGGAGGAAGAGGAGGATGAGGAGACACAGCAGTAGTCTCGCCCGTGACAGTATCCAGACGCGTCGTTGGGCAGCGCGAGCGGTGGCACGATGTGCGCTGCGCTGGGGTCTGTTCCACGGCCCAGCGCCCCGTGGGAGGGTGCCCTCCCTCTCTGCGGGACCTCTCGCCTCTCGAGCAGGGGATCGACTACAACATTGTGGCTTACACCAGAGTCCACAGGAGATGTATTTTTCTTTATATTCGACGTGAGAATCAGTTTCGGGTTGAACCGATTCTGTAGTCGATTACCTACGCGAACCGCTCGCCTTTCCCCCCCAAGCCTCGGGAAGGGGTCGGGCGGGGCCAGGACGAGGATGGACCGGTTCCAGCGCGATCCGGAGCGCTCTCAGAGCCAGGAGGCCGCATGCGAACCCGACCCCACCACCTCATGATTTCCAAGGGGGGAGGTGGGGTTCACTTCGTTCGGGCCCTCTGGGAGGTCTTAGAAATCGTGGGGTGGTGGTGTATGGTTCGCATGTGGCCTCACACTTCCTGAACGCCCTGAACGGCCGCGGCGCCCGAGGCTTCCTCCAGACATTCGCCGATGCTCGGAGATTTTTCCGGCTCCTGTCGGTCCGATTTGTCGCCTCTATTCTGCCTTCGTCTTCAGGGCGCCCGCCAAGGGGGCCCCCGCCTACGTCTTCATGCGGCCCGCGGCCGCGTCGCTGAACGCGCTGGTGGCGCTGCTGGCGCTCGGCGCCATGCACCCGAAGGAGGCGCCGCGCGCCAGCCTTCCCCCGCCGCGGCCGCGGCCGCCTCGGAGCCCACGCGGGGGAGCCTCGGCGTGTGCCTCGCGCCGTCGGGGCAGGGCTCAATGCCGCTTCCTCGGATTCCATTCGATTCGACCTCGATGGCTTCCGGTTCTGCTTCGGCTCGGCCTGGGGCTCCGGCTCTGCTTCCGACGGCCTGCCAGCTGCCTGTTTCCGTCGATTCGGCTTCTGCCGACTCGGCTGCCGAGTTCCGTCGATCCGATCCGTTTCGATCGCCGATCCGACTCGTCGATTCGATGTTGGGCTCTCCTGCCAGGGAACCAAGGAGTCGGCGAAGGAGCTCGGGGCACAGTATCGAGCAGGGGATCGACTACAGAATTGACTTAACTTAACATTAATTTCTTTGTCGAAGCCACCAAACATGTACAGAACGCCCCGCAGGTTTCCTAAACATTGTGCGTTTTGTCTCTGATTCGACGAACGTTCGAGTTTTGGCACAAAACCAACTCTGTAATCGATCGTGATCGTTCTTTATTCATCGTTTTGCCGATCGGCGCGGGCCCCCCCCCCCCTATGGAGTAGATCTTGGCGTTTTTTGGGGGGCGCCTGTTTCGAGCGGGTGGAGTCTCCACCAGAGTCAGCTCTCTTGCAAACAGTCGCGCTGAGCAGGGGTCTGGAACCAGACCCCCCCCCCTCACCCTTTCCGCCCAATGTCGAGACGCCGAAAAAACGCTGCTATCTACTACTCGGAGTTCAGGCCCCGATGTGCAATGAGCACTTCTGGCTCAGCCCCCCCGGGTTTTGCTCGACGGCGCCGAGTGCTCGGCGGGGTGGGCCCCCCTCCACCGGTTCAAGCGAGCCGCCGAGTGTTCCTTCCTCCTCCTCCTCCTCCTCCTCCTCCTCTTCTCCTCTTCTCCTCCTCCTCCTCCTCCTCCTCCTCCTCCTCCCTTCTCCTCCTCCTCCTCCTCCTCCTCCTCCTCCTCTTCCTCCTCTTCCTCCTCCTCCTCCCTCCCCTGCTCCTCCTCCTCCCTCCTCCTCCTCCTCCTCCTCCTCCTCCTTCTCCTCCTCCTCTCCTCCCTCCTTCTCCTCCTCCTCCTCTCCCCTCCTCCTCCTCCTCCTCCTCCTCCTCCTCCTCTCCTCCTCCTCCTCCCTCCTCCTCCTCCTCCTCCTCCGCCTCCTCCTCCTCCTCCTCCTCCCTCTCTCTCTTCTTCTCCTCCTCCTCCTCCTCCTCCTCTCCTCCTCCTCCTCCTCCTCCTCCTCCTTCTCCCCCCTCCTCCTTCTCCTCTCCTCCTCCTCCTCCTCCTCCTCCTCCTCCTCTCCTCCTCCTCCTCCCCTCCGCCTCCTCCTCCTCCTCCTCCTCCTCCTCTCCTCCTCTCTCCTCCTCCTCCTCCTCCTCCTCCTCCTCCTCCCTCTCGTCCTCCTCCTCCTCCTCCTCCTGCTTCACCCTCTTTGCTTTGCTTTCCGCCCGCCCGTCCACTTCGCTCGGCTCTCTCGCTCTTCTGTGCCCCTTCCTCTGGTCTCTCTTTTTCCCGTCCTTCTTTCCCGCTGCTGTGAGTGTGTTTGTGTGTGTGGCTGGGATCATCGGGTTGCCTGTGCGCCAGCGGGGGGGGATGCGGAGGAGAGGGGAGGAGGGGAGACCTGGGAGCACGCTGCTGCTGATGACCACGACGGTGCTAATGCTGAGGTGGCTGATTCCGGCGACGGTGGCGATGACCCAGACCCCCGACGTTATGGTTCTTTCCATATCCGACGGAGGCATCTATGCACCACCACCATCCCAGGCCCTGGCCTGGCACGGTGGTGGTGTATAGATGGTTTCTGCGTGTCACAGAGCGTCGATCCCCAGAGGTGTCGACCCATTCCCTGGGACCGGCTTTTCACTCCGAGTCGTTTCTGGACGGTCCCGGAGCCCGGCACAGGCCCCAAGAGGCCGAAAATAGCGAGGCACCGTCCGTCGTGTTTTTTTCAGGTTTCGAGGGGGGTTTGTGGATGGTAGTGGGGACGAGGACGTTTTCGTTTTCGTCGTCGTCGTCGTCGCCGTGCGCTTCTCGGCCTCGGCCTGCTTGTGCGCCCCTGCTGCCGCAGAGCCCCGCCTCCGAGAGGTGCTGCTCATGCGGCCCTACGAGCTGCTGCAGCAGGAGGAGGCTCCGGGGAGGAGAACCCCAGCCCGACCCCGAGAACTTTCAGTCGGGCCTGTCACTCTACAGGAGGAATATCCAAAAATCATATGAAAATAGTCGGGTGATCATTTTTGGGGTATTTTTTTACAATTTCTGAATTTTCGCCCAGAATCCGCCTGTGGGGGGACATGCCCGACCCAACGATAACTCTAGGCCTCCCCGATGGGTCGGTGTAGATGTGGTCGAAGGATCGCGCCGCATCGCCGATGCATCGGCGATGCCGCTCGATGCGGAGCCCGACTTTCGCCGCATTAATGGCGCCAGTGCATCGCCGACATCGCCAGTGCATCGCCGATGCATCGGCGATGCATCGGCGATGCATTTGCGATGCGTCGCGATCCTTCGACCGCATCTACTCGGACCCCATCTAGGAGGCCTCTAATAACTGGAGTGTACTAAAACGGCTCTTGGTGTTTACAAACAGCCCTGCCTGGCTCGATTCTTTCTTCGAGTGCGTTCACTGACCGGCTTCGCTCGTCGGGGAGCCTCAATCACGAGGGTGGATATTATTGTGCCCCCTGGAGGTGAGGCAGGCCGACGGCATGGAGAGGCTGGAGGAGGAGTGCAAGGCGCGCCTCCCCGCACCAGCAGCGAGGATCGAGGTGTCGAGCATCCAGGCTCCAGGAGGGAGACCGAGGAGGGGCCGAGGACCGCGGGGAGGAGGGAGGGCGGGGGGCAGGCATGGAGGGGTTGTCCGCGGTGGCCGTGCCGAGGCGCCTCGACCTCCCGGTCGCACGGTGCCCCCCCCCCCCCCCACGGTGCTGGTGAGGCAGGTGCCTTTGGCGCAACATCGTCGGCCGCAGTGAAGCATTCGTGGCCCCCGTGATCGTTTTTGTTGTTCATCCTTTCGCCGATCGGCGCGGGCCCTCGTGCACCCCCCCCTGGTCCCCCCCCATGGAGTAGATCTTGGCCGTTTTTGGCGCCTGTTTCGAGCAGGTGGTCTCCCCCCGTAGGATGCACTGCTGCGAACAGGCGCACAAAGCAGATGTCTGGAGCCAGACCCTCCCTTCCTTCCCCCCTCGTTCCGCACCATGTCGAAACGCCGAATAAGAAATCGCTCACCTTGCTCTTGGCCTCTCCGATGCGGCGTGGGTGGCAGTGGCAGCGCAGAGGCCTGGGAAGAGTTTGGGGCCGAGCACGGCGCTCAGCAACCTCAAGACGTTGGCATCAGCGGCGGGCTCAACGGATGGCTCAGTGGTGTAGTCCTCCGACAGGCGTTTGTATCCACGGACGATATGTGTGCACCGTACCGCGTTGGCGTCTCTCGAGGCGTCGTCGATCCTCGGCCCAGGAATGGTATGGTGTATAGTTTCTCGGCCCCTTCGAGCCGAACGACTGTGCACCGTACAGCGCTGGAGCGGGGCTTAAAGGGAGTCCAAACATGGTACGGTGCATGGGTGCCGTTCTCGCATTTGTCGCTCTCGTCATCTTCGGCGCCACCTTTGCCGGGGACAAGCTCGGAGACGGCATACGACAGGTTCGCGTCGTGTCGACCAGCGGCGACCCAGCCGCAGGGGTTCACGAATTTGCTGTAGTGGTGTCGGTACTTTCTGCCCCTCCAGTTCGTGTCGGTTCGGCTGCTTCGCAGTCGGCTGCGTTCGGTCGGGTCGCTCTGGCTCGGGCGGCAGTTGCGCCGCGGCGTCACTCTGGGCCGCGTTCGGCCTGTCGGTTTCGGCTGGCCTCGGTTTCGCTGTCTTGAGAATGGAGGCCCTTTCTCGTGTCCGACGCGGCAGTCGATGCGGATCCGACGATGATCCGATGCGGATTCGATGTTGAATCGACGCGATTTCGACTTGAATAGTGACGCGGTAGGACAGACGAGGTCCCCCGAAGATGAAGCGCATAGCCTTCCCCCCGCGCCTTCTCCTCGTCCCCTGCCCATCCCCGCCCCATGCACTCACTCCGTCACTCACTCGCTCCGTCCTTCCTTTCCTCTCCCCTTTCCCCCCCTTCAGTTCCCTTGCTCTTCACATCTTCTCTCCCTCTCCGTCCCTTAACCCATCGAAGAAGAAGCATCGGCATACAGTCAAGACGCTGAAAGAAGGACTGCTCTTGGTTTTGAGAGGGCTCGCCGGGTCATTTTGTGGTTCGTCCTCCAGCCCTTCTCGTGCGCCCTGGCGCTTTGGGTTCCCCAAGAGGACGTCTTGGATCCGCGCTCCCCTGGCCGTGCCTCCAGCGCACTCCCTGGCGCGCATCGCGCGCCAGGGGTTCAGCTCCGATCCAGTACATTGGCGTGAGCCTCCGAAAGATACTGTTCGTGACGTTGTTGCCCCTCTACGCTCAAGACGCTGAACTGTGAACTCAGGACCGCTTTTGGTTCGATGGGGCTCGACGTTGCTCATAGGTCCTTCCGTGGTCGTTCCTCTAGCCCTCCTCGTGCACAAGGCTCTCTTAGTGCCAAGAGGCCACACCAGGCGTGACCAGGGGGGGGGGCGACGGGAGGAGAGGAGGCCGGCCACGTCACGATTTGCGCGCACGCCGTCTGGGAATGCCCAGGAATGGCAAATCCCCAGACGGCGCCAGCGCGAATCGTGACGTGACCAGGGGGGGGGCGAAGGAGGGGGGCCGGGGCCGCCTGCCACGGGCGCCATCGCGAGTCACAAGAAGATGTGCTCTAGCTCTGCCCAAGCAGCTGGGTGGAGACCGAGAGAGTCGGACGGGGATAGGACGAGGACAAGCGTGCCGGAGCGCTCTCGCAGAGATGGTTCTGGGACGTTTGGAGAAGGCACCGGCGCCTTATACCCATCGGTCGTTGAGAGTAGGTATTTTTGGATTCCCAGAATCCCAGATTTCTTGTGGGCTGGCCTCCGCTGTAGTTGCCCATGCTGCGTCCCTTCCCTGGCTTTCGCCTGCGTGGTCCTCCTCGGGACGCCCTTGAGTCGGCACAGCATTTCTGGTCAGACCGCACCCAGTGAGCGGTCCACGGAGCAGTGGTATCGGCACCCATGTCGTTGAAGTCGGCATTTTTGGATTTCCAGATTCCAATCTACTTTGAAGTGCCTTCTCACTTCAATGATCGAGTGGCTTCACCTTTTCCATCCTCTTCAGGGGGCGGATGGGACCCATCTACTTTCAACGTCTTCCTACTTCATGTTTCTACCCACTTCCGCCGACTGATGGGTACATCCTTCAGAGCCGCCGGATTTCAGAGATTCTCGATTTATCCCCACCCGAGTTTGTTTTCGTCCGAGTTTCGCCTTAGAGAGAAAGAGAGAGAGGGAGAGGGAGAGACCACGCCCGTGCAGACGCGGTCTGTGCGGTCCATGAGCTACTCCCTCGCCTCGCTGCTGGGGAGCATGCCCGTGGGCGTGCTGATCAACTCGCGGAGGGCAAGGGGGGGCTGGGCACGAAGGAACGGGTAGGAGTTCTGGGAACTTTTCGCGAGAGTTTTGACCCCAAGATTTAGGTGAGTCTTTTTGGAAGCTCATTCCAACATATACCGTCTCGGTTTAATAGCCTTTGGTGGCCTTAAGTGTATGACTAGCCTTTAGTGGCATTTAGTTGCCTTGTAGCGCCCTTGAGGGGCCTTCAGCGGCCGTCAGTGTCTTTCACCGACCTAGAAGTAGTACGTATGTTCAAATGAGCTTTCAACAAGACTCACGTCAAAACTACTCTGGACAAAGGGCTGGTTCTGGAGAAAGCCTTGGGGTCCAAGACCTGTTTCCGTATGACCCCTTTCCTTCATGGCGGTTTGGGAAGGATCCAGGCCTTCGAAATTGGACAGGAGCAGACATGATCGGAGGATCGTTGCGCGCCGCAGATGCATCGACGATGCATGGGCGATGTGGTGCGATGCTCCGACCTACTTACTCTTGCGCCAGCTGGGAGGCCTCCGGAGGAGGAGGATCGTTCTCCAGGATGTCGGCGGTTCGGTCGGTTCGGCAGTTCGGTCGATTCGGCTGCTTCGCAGACGGCTGCGTTTGGTCAGTTTGGTTGGTTCGGCTGCTGCGCCGCTGCGTCCCTGTATGGCTGCTTTCGGTCTGTTGATTTTGGTCGGTTTCGGTTTCGCTCGGTCTGCGTCAATTGGTCATGGGCTGGAGGATCGCACTGGATCGCTCGTAAGGTCAGGGAAACTCTATGAGCACAACGCCGGAGTCGCGGCGAGGTGCCCATGCTGCACACGTTGGGAACGAAGAGATGCTGCGGCATGCACGCCGCCCTCGCTGCTCCGCGCGCACGCCCCCCTGTGCCGCAGCCGCGGCCAGGGGCAGGCGTCGCGCTCGCCGCGGGGAAGACGGTACCGGAAGTCTCGAACGGGCCACCCCCACGTCAGCCACCCCTTGGGGCTCTCCGCAGCAGGATCGTCCCTCTGCAGCAGATGGTCCAGTGCCGTTTTTAATACATGCTCCGCGTGCGGATCATGTCTTAGAAATAAAGGGATTTAGTATTAAAAGCAATGATGAATGTATGCATTGATTTATTCGTAAATTAGTCATGTATTAAACATCTTTTTTTCTTTTTTTGAAACATCCGATGTATGAAAAAGCTGCCCTGCCCATGCAGCGGTGCAGATCGGCCCTCCCTGAAGATGCGAACGATACCCGGCCTCTCTGCGGCAGATCTTCTGCACACGGCGCCCTCCTCGCCCGGCGATGTCTGGCCGCAGCGCTTGTCGCTGCTGCTGCTGGGCACCACCTGCGCCTCACACATCATCGCAGCCCCAGTCCTCGCCCGCAGGCCCGTCTGGCTCGGGCCGAGCTCGACCCTGCCCTCGCCGCTGGCGAGTGCCGTCGGCCGCGGGCTGAGCCTCGCCCCCCCCCGTCCCCCGCCTTGGCTTCTGGATCCCGCGGTGGGGCCTGCACCGGTCGTGGGTCGCGGACTCCCCCCTCTCCCTCTCGGGGGCCACGACAAGGGGGCATAGGCTCAGGGGGGGATGCCTCGACCCTCAATTGCCCACTGATCGCCGATCTATCGGATGCCCATCTCCGATCTGTCGGCGATGCATCGCCGATTCCAGGTCGATGCATCCCCCCGATGCCAGTCCCCCCCTATCGTTGCCCCTCGCCCTCGGTCCGTTACTTGCCCCTCGAACGTGGCGGGATGCTTCTGGCATGCTTGTCACCCGCATTATTTGCTGCGGGCCCAGCGTGCTCTGGTCGATGGCCCTGCTGGCTCGCTGGCCATCGGGACGGCCCCAGCTCGAGCGCGCCGCGGCGAAGCACCGCTGGAGGCCGCGCTTCCTGAGGGCCCACGCTGCACGCTTCTCACGGCGGCGCCGCTCGTGCCGTGTCGCTGGCCGAAGGTGCACGCACAACCACGTCCCGTGTGGCTCCCCTGGACTGGTCCGCTCCGAGATTTGAGCGAGCTCACGGGAGGAGCGTCTTGGGGAAGAGGTGAGAGGTGGAAGGGGAATGGAGGATGAGGAGGAGGAGGAGGAGTAGGAGGAGGAGGAGGAGGAGGAAGTGTTGGAGGGAGGAGGAGGAGGAGGCGTATGAGGATGCGGATGCGGATGCGGATGTGGAGGAGGAGGAGGAGGAGGAGGAGGAGGAGGAAGAGGAGGAGGAGGAGGAGGAGGTGATGGGAGGGAGGGAGGAGTGGTGGGGGATGAGGTGGTGGAGGGATGGATGGTGGATTGGAGAGTCAAGTCACGATCAGTTGGGGCGTATGCGGAATGGATGAACATGCATTCTGACCTCGAATGGAAAGTGTGCAGCCGATCGGAGACATGTCGGCCTGCGGTGCCTATGCTACCACAGGCAGCCCAGTGCTGGTTAGTGAAGCGCCCCGGAAGGGCCAGTTACAGCATGGGCGAGCTTCTGACTACCAAGGGCGATAGTCACGCTCCAGCAGTCGGCGGCGAGCGCAGGACGGAAGTCAGAGGGGGGGGGCCTGCTCAGAAGGCTCGGAAGGCCTCCGGCCTTCTCAGACAATTTCAGAAATGTTCCAGCTTTCGCCGAAGGCAGGGACGGCTTCTCAGATGGCCCGAGGACTTTCGAGAAGCCCCACCGCCTTCTGAGAAGACCTGCGCCCTCTCACTTCCCCTCTGGGCGCGCCGCTGAAGCAGAGTGTGGGGGGGGGGGCGGGGGGTAGGGACAATTCCTTGCTTCATCATGGACTGCGAGCCACTGGCCAGCATCATGCGTGGCGGTACGGCGTTGCTTCATGATGATCTTCTCCCACCTGTCACCAGGGCGACCAGAAGCTGCTCGCACTGGTAGAGTAGGGATGGGAACCAACACTGGTGGAGGACAACCCAGTCAATGGGAACGGCGTGCTTTCAACGAGGTCGTGGACCACCTCGTAACTTTAACTTTCGCCATGGAAGAATGAACATTTTGGTTCAAGGTATCTCAGCCATGCGGTGGGAGTCTGACTCCTCAAGATATGCGGCACATGGCGAGCATCTTGTTCCGCAGCGGCACAGCACCATGTACATTCGCATTCTTTGGGGTGGAGCTTCCATTCCTGGTGTATGGCCGGCCGGTGCGTTGATGAACCCATCTCGTCTGTTTCGGCCGAGGCGATCACCCTCAGCATTTGCGTCAACACGGCCATCATCAATATTCTCTCTAGGTCTGGGAAATGAAGAGCGATGATGGAGGGTGTAAAGGGGAAATGAACAGGTTGGGAGGAGGAATGGGAAAGACACATGAGCGAAGAGGAGGAGGAATAATGGATGAGGAGGAGGAGGAGGAACGGGGAATGAGACGAGATGTGCCTTGAGGCAGGAGGAGGAAAGAGGAAGGATGGACGAAGGACGATTGGGTGAGCAGGGAGGGAGGGGGAGCAGGCGACGATGAGGGCACACACGCGAGGAATGTAGAAGTGTGGAGCAGGGAGCAGGGAGCACGACAAAAGGAGGAGGAGGAAAAGTAGAAGGAGGAGGAGGAGGAGGAAGAGGAGGAGGAGGAGAAGGAGGAAGATGAATGAGAGGAGGGGGGGATGGGAGGTAATTCTCCACGCTTCGCGTATCCCCACAAGCTCCGTAGCCTTTGGCTCAAGGCCGTCTGGTGGGCCTGCCCTCTCCGGGGCAGTCTCCCGCCGCTCAAGGGGCGCCCAGACGCTGCGCCGGGGGCCCGCGGCCCTGGAACCCCTCCGGCACCGGGCGCGCCAGCCATCGCGAACGCCTGCCCGCCGCGCAGACGGGCTCAGCGGCCCGAGGCTCAGATCGGATCAGGACCGCTGCCTCATGGATGGTCGGTCTGATAGCTTGCGATCGATCGGCGACAATACTGTCATCCTTGCGGGGGAAAGAGCCGCATCATCCGATGTCGGCCTCGGGACCACTGGGCCAAACGATTTTGGACAGACTCGCCCTGGATCTCAGGACACCATCCCGCCGGGGCAACCGTCGCTCCCTGTTCCCTGGAATGGGAACGCCTCGGCCGATGCTTCGGGCACGCGAAGACACATGATCCCCAGTCAATCGGAGGGAGGGGCTGATCCCCTCGGCACTGTGATACACACCGAAAGTGCGACCTTCCGTCGCAACCCTGGACTTGAGATCGACGGATGCGCAGCGGTAGACGGGGTTGATACGTTCAGCCCTCCGCTTCACACTGAAAGCGCGACCTTCCGTCGCCATCCTGGAGGTATTGTCAGACATAGGCCCCCCCGCCCAGCAACCTTTCTCTTACCCCCACTATTCCTCTGCCCACGGCTGGACGCCCAATCTCCTTTTCTCCAGGCAGCGCTGGGCACTGCGGGACCGCCCATGGCGATGCTAGACCTACGGGGGCCGACGGGCCCACTCCTGAAGTAGTTCATTGTCCCACGAACCCCCCTCCTCTCGGGCAGTCTCGCGACGAGCTGGGAGTTGCCCTCGGCTCCCGACGCAGAGACCTCGATGGCGTGGATGGGGACTGTGTGGACCCGACACCCCCAGCATGCGCCCCTGAAGACGAAGTGGGGGGAGACGGGCAGTCACGTCGCCTCGGCCCCGTCACGCGTCCTAGGGGCTCTTGCCCTCACTTCGCCGTGCCCCCCTCTCTGGACGCGGCCGCCCCGAATGAGGCTGCTCCCAACAACGTCTCGAGCATGGAAGACAGGTCCTCAGGTTGCGGCGCGCACCTCGACTCTGACACCACCCCAGGCCGCCCTCAGGAGCCTGACAGCGGGAGGCGTGGCGCTGAAGGAGGGGGTAGTGCGGCTATCCCCACAATTCACACAGAAGTGCGACCTTCCGTCGCTACCCTGGAGCGGACCGCGACGGGCAGTAATGCCCGCGATGTTCAGCCCAGGGAACGGTGTGTAGGGGTAGAACGCACCAGGGAGCAAACCCCCGTGGAGGATGGTCGTGGCAACCTTGGCAGAGGACAAGCCGACGCTGCGACCTTCCTCCGCTCCCCTGGGCGCGATGACCTCGGGCACGAAGCCCTCCTGTCT